AAAAAAAAAAATCCTGGATGTCAGATTAGCAAAAAGAAAAAAAAATTTTGTTTTTTAATTACAGCAGCAAAAAAAGTTTATATAATGGTATTACATATGTCTAACAAAAAATAAAGAATAGTGTTAAAGCATTATAAACCACATATAATCGCTTATAGTTCAAATGTTTAGCTAAGATCCTAAGCATGTGACTTTTATGTCTGTGAATGTGAACTGAAAATGTGATTTGGTTTTTTGTCCACAAATGTAAGGAAGTGTAACCACCAATAGTTTCATTACCTTCTCCTTAATTGCAATCTGAAACGGCTTTTGCTAATAAGACTGACATGTTAACTACTTTTATTCTTAAAGTATTATTGTGTATTTTCTGTTCTTTTGAAAAGTGTGGTGCTTAGTAGTATTATGTCCCAATCAGATGATTCATGATACACAACATTTTCATACTTGGGAAATGTTAACACATTATAGTCCTTGCTTTGAAACATAAAAGAATTAATCACAGACAACACATTTTCATATTCCTTTGACGCTTGAGACCATTTAAATGATGTGGCTTGCATGCAGCCCCATTTTGGGCCCTCAGCGCCCTCTACATTGTCCCTCTGTGTCTGTATTTTCACCCCAGGCTTTACTCCTCTTGGCATTGTTTTGTATTTGCATGAAAATCTGTAAATTTTTTTTGCATGGCAAGTCATTGGTAATGCTGAAGTTAAATGTCTAACATACCTTGCAATATCACATGCCATTAATTCTTACATGATTTTTTTCTTTTATTTTCAGTTACTGAAGTTTAAATATGCTTGAAATGTAAAAGTGGCATGAAACTGGAGTGATGCAAGAATATTTAGTATTCCTTTAAGGACTATCATTTTTAACTGGGAAAATTTGGGGGCAGTTCTCAACCTTGTTTTTTGGACATCAACCATCAATTACAAATGATGATAAAGCTATATTGAACATAGGTGCTGTCAGCAGAGTAATAAGTTCTGAAGTGATACCTTTTTTCCCTCTGAGAATGTAATTTTAGTACTTGAATATAAAGTATATGTCCCCTAATTTCAGAAATTATTAATTATTTGATTTTTCTTAATGGGCACACAAGCTCTATTACTTTACTGAAGGTTTCTACTACCTAAAAAAGTAACGAATTACTTACTGAGTGACAGCACCAACATTTTAGTACTTCAATGTTTTCTAAATGAACATGATTACCAAAATGGATATTTGATATGGGAATGTATGAGTATACAAAGAAGATAAGTTATTTATGTCATTTTTGTCAAGCTTCAAATCCATAAGGGCACAGGACCAATTCCCACCAGTAGGACAAAAGCACACATCCAAACAAGTGTCCTTTCCTTCTAAGTAGTCACCTTGCTCCTCTACATTTATTCCTAACAGCTGCCATTGCCAAAAATGTTTTTGAATACCTGTTTTCAAATTACCTTCAGAGTCTTTGGCACCTTCATTTCAACAGCTGTATGGTAACAAATCTTGTTCCTTGGGGAGTGATTTTGATTTTTTCAGCAGCTAAAAGATCTTCAGAGCCAAATCGGCCAAACAAAACTGGTAGTCAATCTGGTGAAACAGATTTTTTAATGACATATGAATATGTAATTAGTAAGACCTGCATAGCCAATAGCTTACAAAATGACTTTCAACACATTTCCCAAAGAGGAATCCCACAAAACATTTGCATAAAAACAGCAGCAGTGGAATTAATGGAATTTTCTTAAGGAGTCTTCTAGGCAAGCACATGATTATCTCCTTGAATGAATAAATTCTAATACCTGTACCATTTGATGTATCTAGGTGTTATTTTTAATTCTCCCTTATTTAAGCCAATGGAGTAGTTAAAATTTTTGAAAACAGTCAATCTTAAGTTTTTTACCTGATCAGGACTCTAGTTGAGTGACTGCTGCTTTTCCTTTGATAAGCTCATATCAAGTTAATACCTCTTTTAGCGGATGTTGGCTGATTGACTCCTGGCTGTCACCAGCTAGCTCTGTGATATCAGAATAGGATACAGCTTCTCTGTGCCTCTCACGCCCTGTCTACAAAATGAGAGGTTGGGGCTAAATTATCTTTAAAAAATCTCTTTTGAATAAAAATGTTACAGTCTAATGATTATATATTCATATGTGAGGCTATAATTATCATATAAATCTCCATACATCTTTGTGCGGTTTTAATTAAAACTAAGCAGAAGTAACTCAAATTCAGGTTATTCTAAAAGACATCAAGACACTGAGAAGAAAACTAGCTTCTCCACTAAAGTGTTTTCTACCTGATGGTGATAAGATGACATTTGTATAGCACTTTATGTTTACATTGTCCTTTGTGAGTCTCACAACCTACAAGCTGCTATCATTGTCCTCATTTTGCAGATGAAGATACTGAGGTTCAGGGAGATTCAGTTACCTCTCTACGGTGATGGACTAGCAAGGTGTAGAGCCAGCACAAAAAATTCTGGGTCTTCTCCTTCTAATTTAAGACTCTTTCCCTCCATCACCATTTATCTGTAACCGGTCTTTTGCTTAGGAGACAATTTTTTCAAGGTGCCACCATTCAGAATTCATACTCCTTGAGAATAAAATTAACCTTTAGAACTCTCTGGCACCGCTTTAGAATCATCCACTTGCGTCACTACAGCTCTCTGTGCTTTTACAGACTAGTTGTTTTGTCAGCATGAGTGTGACAACAATTAGACGTCCCGTTTTTGCCCCATGCCTTTTCTCCTTCACAGTCATTCAATGACAAGCGTAAAAAGAGCTTCATCTTTTCACGAAAATTCCCATTCTACAAGAACAAGGAGCAGAGTGAGCAGGAAACCAGTGATCCTGAACGTAAGTAGATTCTCAAAGATAATGTCACATGCAACATAAGAGAAAAAATATTCACAGGCAACACGCAGGATGTAGGCTCTCCCACGCCACACACCTAGGCAAACAACACAGCAGGCAGGCAGGGCAGGTCTACTACTGTGACCAGTGTTTGACTGCAGTCTGGATCCCTCCTTTCACGTGGCTCTTCTTTGCAGAAGGCATTGGAGAGAGACTTGCCGAAATTGAGACTTGGACCCAACCAACATTTATCTTTGGCCAGGACTGGGTCTGGTTTGCCTTTTCTATCATGCAACTCTCTAATAAAGTCTTGAGAAAAATTCTTTTCTGAGAATAAACCTCGGATTCTGTTGCCACATATGTTTTTTGGAATGCTAGGAACAATTAAAGTATCTTTACTGATTACTAGCACATTTGCTCACTCTTTCCCTCCCCAGAAACACTAAACACTTGCTGAGCACAGAGCTTGTAATGGTGGATATCGTCTAGAATTTGCTATGAAATTTGGAGAGGTTTATTCCTTAAGTGGGGCATTTCTGTGGCAACGTGATTAACCATGGGCAAAAAAAAAAAAAAAAGGGCATTTGCTGAATTTTTTTTTTCTTAGAATCTTTTGTCTAAACCTTGAGTTTCTCTGCAAATCAGAAATTTTCTTCTTGAGAGAGTTTGGGGTGAAAGTTGTTTTAAAAGAGAGAATGGGATCCAGATTGTTCAGGCAGCACGGTCTGTCATGGTAGTATTCGTTTCAACTCCACTGACTTCTTCCTTCCTCTTCCGTGGCTGTTCTTCCTCTCTCATTGCTCTCTCTGGGGACTTCCATGCAGGACATCCCCGGATTAGGTGACGACGGTTATGGAACAAAGACTCTGAGTAAGTTTCCAGGAATGGTCACTGTAACTTTTCTTTTCTTTTCCTTTCCTTTTGAGTTTGGCTTTTGTTCCTTTTCTTGAGGGCCTTTCACTCCTAGCATGCACAAGATACGAGTTTTATTTGTTACCTAGCTGTGAATGCTCCTACAAAGTAATTTTCAATCGTTTTGTTCTGCATGTCAGCATTTAAAAGCAAAGTGTGTCAGGCACTCTAACTTCTGTTGCAGTTAACACCATCCCTTTCTGACCATGTGATATTATCAACATGGTCCTGATGCCCACTATAGCATCACTTGCTCTGCCGCTTAATACGTCCCAGAGAGCAAGAAACCATGTTGAAAGAAAGGGTGAGCCAAGTGTCCTAGAACAGCAAAATAGAAATGTACTTTATGTTCTTCCTTCTGCCTTTTCACATGGAAATATTTAATGACCTTGTCAAATCTCATAATTGGGTTGTACTTTGCTGTTAGTAAAGGAGCTATTTTGTAGTCAAAAGGAACACGCATTCTCTGAAAGCAAATATTAAGCTACTTGATCTTCCATGAGTATTTACTTGTTATTAACTTTGATTTTTTTTCTGACTTGCGGTGATCCTGCTTGAAATGTTTGTATGATAAAGCTTAGATATGTAATAATATGCTTTTCTATCAGTGATTTATTAGCTACATTACAAAATCAGGTCTTCACTTTATAGCATAGAGTGAAAAATAAAATATATTAAACCTTTGCATTTTCTAGTTATTCATATATTTAGTTTGTGTCTGATTCCACTAAGCAATTAAAAAACTAATTATCCTGTGTATTAACATACTATGAAATTTTCCTGTTTAATAACTAACCCCATTGTGTAGGCATCAATGAAATGAGAAGAGAGTTTTGTGTCTTTTGCAACTGTATCACATATTTAATTTTTTTTGTTTTGTTTGTTTTAAATTAACAGCTGTGGGCAATATTTTTAGAAGCTGTTTATTTGTATAAAACAAAATTGCACTGAGCTGGACTTTGTTTTCAAGGGCTTTTTCTATAACCCTGTGTAGTGATACCCCTCATAACTCAAATTGTTCATTTTGAGAGTTTTTAAAGGTATTTATTTTTAAAAAACAAAATCTGATCAAGAGTACTGATCTTAAAGATGAAAACTTTATTTTTGAGTCACTGTATGGAATGTGGTAGACAATTTTTCTTGAATTAGTGGCTGAAGTTTAATGATTGATTTCAACATTATCTGGACAGCATCAAGCACCACCAGAGAGAATTTGTATATTTTCAATACGAGAGGGAAAAGAAGCATCTTAATATATTGCTAATAATAAACATTACTAAAAAGTAGTGGATTTTGGAGTCTCAAAAATAGGATACGCTTTCAATCCAGAATATGCAAATGTTTGTTTGCTCTTTAAAAATTGAACAAATTTAAAAAGTAAAACTCAGCAACAGCAAAAAGCCCTGTCATCCTCAATTCAAGGTACTTAATAATCTACACAAAGATACGCTAATATTGGTTATGTGCCATGACGTTCATTTTGGTAACAGAAAACAGATGTGCACAGGTTCATCCACATTTCTTTCCCTGTTGCCTCTTTGCACTTCCACAATACGTGCCCAAATTAATAATTCAGTTCTGATCATAGACCAACACAAAGAGAAATGATTTGTGTGAATTGAACCCATGCTTTGATTTTCATCAGTTTCATGCTCTGAAATGACTCTATCCAATTGGCAAGAATGTATAATACCAAAGCACTATTTTTTATTGTTAGAGAATAATTTTACATATTATTTTTCTCTTTCTAAAAATGTTAACTATTATCACTTTTTTAAAAACTGAAGTTATTTATAGTGAGCTTCAGAAATCAAATAGTCACATGTTCGTCATTTAATTAAAGTAATATACAAATAAATTGATAGACTGATGAGTGTATCTTCTATAACTTAACAAGCACTATGGATGAAAGAAAATGATTGTGGAAATCAGAGCTCAAATTCTGGCTTATAACCAATACATCCCTGTTAAGTTAGGTGAACTATGTATGAAGAAACAGTTTGAAATATTGCTGTGTAAGCAAGTCATTCAGCATGAATTAAAAAAAATACTTCATGCTAGAACCTGTACTGTGCATAAGGCCATTTCTTTCCTGCCTGTTCCATGCCTCCAGAATTCAATAGCTATCCAAGCAAGGATCCTAAAATAAAAACAAGGAACTATTGAACTGATTCATAAAATATTTTTCAGACTCACATCTTCCTCAAAGATTTTCAGCTCACTCACTGAAGCAGAAAAGATCTTCAAGAATTCCTGTTCATCCTGAGAATGTGTTTAGGAAGTATTTAAACAGAAATAAAATGCAAGGGAATCCAGGGATCAATTAGTAATTTAAATTGCAGTATTCCAGAAACATACTTAAAGGCTAAAATAGAGAAATAAAAAAGCCTGCAAGAAAACAGTACGTACATACTAGAAGCTCCTGAATTTATAGTCAAGAAAACATTCAGTCCAGACATGCAAGTCATTGTCACATAAATCTTGCAAGTCAGAGGTATATGGATGGGTCATAGTATTTTTTTTAATCACTTAAAATGACATTATGCATTTTTTGTAATTAAAGATACTTTCTTCATTTGCTAAAAGAAGAAACAGCAATCAAGCAGCGGGTTCCTGTAAAATGGAGATAAAGTTTTCATCTTCTTTATCTTATCTGAGTTTTCTTAATGCAGCCTCCTCTGCGGCCTTTTACTTGCCTTTCGCTCACATTTCTAGTAGCCTTGCATGAGTGTATTCCTTTCAGTTCTGGCTGCTCTTCAATGCTTGGTATCTCTTTAATTTGCTGTGCTGTTCTTGCAGAACATGTTTCTTCTAATGCCAGCGATAGCGAAAGTAGCTACCGTAAGTTACTGCTTTGGTTTGTGGTTCTTTTCTTTGCAATTGCTCCATTGCCTGTGGTGGTCATTTCAGATTTCTGTTGTTGTTTTTCAATTGCTACCTTTTATCATCCGTATTCAAAGCAAATGGCTTGAAATGAAATTATTGAATGTGGAAAGATGAAAAAGACACTAGAGTGGACCCTTATATGATTTGTGCAAGCAGTTCCAGCCTTGGTCGGTTGTGACTCAGTGATTCAATTCTCACAGAGAAGGTGTGTAAAAAGTTCAACATGGTGGATTTTCACATTGTAACCCCCAAAATAATTGAAACTCTCAACTGGAGGGTGGAAAATCATCATGGCATTATTTTCCTTCTCATTTTGCCATTTCCTTTCTGTTCTTGGCTCCTCTTTGCGGGAAAAACATTTATAAATTAAGTGTTCCTTTAAAATCAGGTGTGAATCTTTTACATCACTTTCTCTTTGATCAATCTTTTAAGGTAGTCTACTATGACATTTCTAACTTTACTTTTTTGTTAATTGGGAAACTGATGAAAGAGTTTCATCCTCTAATATTGAAAGAACTTAATTTTTTTAATGTGACCAAGTCTTCTTAGATCAGAAAACTTAGCTGAAAAGGTAGGTGACTATTTTAAAGTTGTTTCTGATCTTTGTTTGGTCACCTCAAGCCATTTGCTTAGTGTATGAAAATATCCACCAAACACCAAGCACATCCTTTTGAGCAGTCCTCATGGTTTCTTACCTTCTACTTACTTGCTGGTATTTGGTGACTAACATAGGTACATATTTTTACTGGGATTCTTATGATTTCTCTAAGATTAATTTATATTCCTTAGTGAAATGGGTTACCCAAAAAGCAGGCTTAATGCATGTGACCCACAGATACTAAGGCAGAAATTGGTTTTGTCTTTTGTTTGAATGAGTATTGTATTAATTGAAAACTAGAATTGTTTGGGGCTTCTCCCCAATTATAGCATGATACTTTACGAAACGATGCCTTTTTGAGGTGGAGAGCCAAATAGTGGTACAACACATAATTTGGATTTTGAGAAAAGCTTTGGAAAATCAGAGGGGTGGTAAGTAAGAGAAAAAGCACCAAAGAGGAAAGATGACAGACGGAGGTAGGCTCAGAGGAGGAAGATGATGTAGAACACAGAATAAAATGAAAAACTTGTGATAAGATACCCTTGATCAATCAAACATTAGACTGATAATAAAACACCTGATTTTCTTACTGATGAAAGTCTTATTGATAGAAGAAATTCCATCAATTCCTACTGATGGAAGAACTCAAAAGGTTCTTGTTGTCGACATGGTAACATGTCAATATTTTTACATTTTTTTATACTTTTATAATTTTATTATTATCCTAACTTCAGAAAAAAATTTGCCTCCCCTCTTTTTCATTTTACTTTAAACCAAGAACCTAGGCCAAGAAGAATTGACCAGAGCTTGTGTTAATACGCCTACCCTCAATTTAATATGTAGAAAGATATAACTTATTTGTTGGGTACCAAGAAGACCAATGACACTAGTTTCCTTGATGTTCAGTTTTCAATTTTCAAGTGTTGTGCTTCTATCCAGTAGACACAGGTATAGAAAATGAAAGCATCATGCCTTCTCTTTCAATTCTTTTAATGAAAAATATATACTATACAAGAACTACCCTTTCTTTTAAAAATCATACTTTTATAGGGTATTTTAAAGGCTTCTTCTCTGTTGCAGAGGTGGGAATATTTTTCCCAAAATTATTAAGTTATAAAAAGTGGGCCAAGACTTTCAACTCCTTAACAGATTTTTAAAGTGATGTTCCAAAATGATGTCAATAATTATTTTTACTCTCAAATGCTAGGTGCACATAAATGTTTATTGAATGAATAAATGAAACACTTTTGGGCATCTCAGATTCTCTGTGAGGAGAGAGAAGATTTGGAACTGGATTCTATGACATTAGTAGGACAGATATGAAATCTAATCATCTCTATTGGCTTGAGTCTCATCCAAGGTTATAGAAGGTCAGCCACCCAGATTGTTTTGTTTACAAACGAACAAAAGTAAGAGGAATTTTTATCACAGCTCAGAGGAGAAAAATGGCATTTATTCCTCCAGAATGGAAATACGAAGAATTACAGAGGAATATTTATTTATTTGTTTGGTACCTACTATATGGGAGGTCCTCTTCTTGGATACCAATAGACCAATTGTGAATATCAACTAACTCTAGCTCTCAGCACACATAATAGTGGGAGAGAGATATAAATAAATGAAAATGTGCACAAAGTGTGGCAGGTACTGAGATAGATGTGTGGCTGAAGAATAGTGGGAGCATAAGAGGTAGTTTCAGAGAGGAAGTAGCTTGTAGCTTTGAGCTGAGCTTTGGAAAGATGAGGAACTTGCTAGCCTGGCAAGATGAGGAAGAAACTGCCCAGAAAGAACATTGCCACAACAAAAGACTCAGAGGTTTGGAACAAATAAATTTTCCAGAAGACACCAACTTTGATGTCAAAATAGGCTGCATTTTTCTAGTGAATTCATGGCTTTTGCTGTAATTATGACTAAAAGTAGTATAAACAAATATTTTTAAAAATCCTCTTTTTAGCAATATCCAGGTGTTATATTTCACGGTTTTACTTTACTATTCCATATCCACTCTGGAGACAAAATGGTTTAATAATAATAATAGTAATTTGGAGTTAGAAACAAAGACCTAGGCCACTGCGCTTCACCATCCAGAGTGGACCATTCACTCTGGATCCTACACCTTGTAGCAACCTTACTTGAAAGTCTTACATGTTTCCTGAGGTATAACCCACACACACATAGATACACACAAACGTCAGTTCCTCATAAATAGTTTAAATCTTTGCTGCAACATCTCAAGCATTACAAAATAGGTTTTCCAAGTCCAACTCTATTTAGTACAAGCTAAAATTGCAGTTGATAAAGTGTACATTGTCTAATTGTGTAAAATACCACCTCAAAACTATTTTAATTATGAGCTAATTCCAGATTTCTGTCAAGAAAGTAGGAAAATTTAGCCCGGTATTTTTGGCTGTTCTGTAAATACCTTTCAATTCTCCTTGTATTAGGAAACAATAAATACTAGGCAAGTATAATGAGGACTATGCAAGTCTCTAAAGCTGAAGACATGCGTTCCTCAAAGCTCCGTAAAGCTCTTTACATCATCATGGATGTGTGAAAGGTGATAAATATCCTTTCAACCCATTAATGCTCATCAGTTAAGTAGGATTTTCGAAACAAGGATCTTGAAGAACTGATCTGAATGAAGGTGTTGAGTTTAGGAGACCCATAACTTCTCCACTGAGGTCAGTCAAAATGGCACATATTCTTCACCTTACTCTATTCTTCTTAACTATTGCCCTTAGGTGTCTTTACCCTTTGGTTTTTATAAAGCAGTTTTTCATTACATCTATTATCTCATTTAATTTCTGCAACAAAACTATTAGACATGTTTTACATTAATAGCCCCCTTTCCACATGAGGAAGCTGAAGCTCCAAGAGGCTGCCTACCTTATTAAAGTAGTAGCACTGCAGATCCAACCAAGACATCTTAATTCTGAATCCCTTTCATTTCTCACTCTTCCCTGTAGTTTGTAATCCAAGGCTCTTGTCATTTTACCTTGTAACTTTCAACCATTTCATACTACCTAGAAAGTTAACACAAACAGCAACACTTATATAACATTAAAAATGCACCAAGCCTGATTTTAAGGACTGTATGTATATTAAGTTCATCTTCTGAACATCCTATGGAGACAATTTGCCATGAATTTACTATATGACCTTAAAGAAATTACTCAAAGTCTTTGAGCCTTAGTTCTCTCCTATGTAAAATGAGTAGCTTGAATTAGAACAGAAATGGCAAATAAATTTTAATCAAGATTCCAAATCTAACCAATTGGCAATAGCTGCCAGAAGAGTTGTAATCAGAAGTATTCTAAAGCCACGTTGAGGCTCAGCAGTAATCCCGGCAATGATCAGTTTGTGATGCCTGTCAAGGTCACTGAGAGTAACAGTGTATGGTACATACTTGCCATCTATGAAAGTACATGAACCCTAAACCCTCTCTTAGCACTAACATTCCATAGCTCTAAGAACCTAATTAGTTCTTAATAATCATCATATGCAGGCACTAAAAACTAAACTTTGGGCATTAAATGTACTGCCACTGGTCTTCACCTCCATCATCTCTCTTCTCTAGTTTCCAGGAATTCCTTAAAAACAGCAACTTGCTTTTCTCTAGCATGAAGGCATACTAGGGTCTCTCATTGTGACTGGCTTCCAGTTTAAACACAGAGTGTTTTGTAGAGACTGTGACAAAACCCTCTGCCAAGTCTCTGGCAGCCACAGACGTCCACACACAGCTCTGTGCTGCTCTCCCACTTTCAGCCATGCAGTTGCCAAACAAGACCAAGAGATAGTTTGTACCTTTTTGTCAGCTGTTATTTCGAAGTGTCAACCCCTTCTGAGCAGAAAACAGAAAAACTCTTAAGGACGACTATTTTATGGGGATGGCATAGCAGAAATACCAAAGAAAGAAAGAAAAAGAGTGAGAGAAAGAGAGAGAGAACTTGTGCTTAGCGGCGAGCACCTGATGGCCTCTTAATAACTCTGACCTGGTTTCGGTCCCTATCTCTCTCCTTAATTTTTTGTTCATTTGTAAGCTTTACCTTGATACCCCCCCCTCCACCCTGTCCCACAGAGAATTCTGCTTCTCTCAGCATTTCAAGACAGTGCAATCTACTCCACAAGAGCTGAAAAATCTGTGTTATTAAATCTTGACTCCACCACTTACTAGCTGAAGAATCAGGGCTCATTAACATCTCTGAGCCTCAGCTTCTTTATCTGTAAAATAGGGATTATCAGAGTACCTACCTCAAGCAATGGCTGTGAAAAATAAAAGCCAGTGAGTGTGAAAGCCCCTCAAGACCTGCAAAGTGCCATAAAGGCATGAATTTTCTCTTCTTCATCACAGTGGCTTTTTCTCTTCCCCTTTGTCTCTTTTCTATTACCCATAGGGTTTTTCATTCTTGAACATGAAAGTAAAAATTGATTTAAGATGCTGAATTCACAGCAATTATGTCATGCCCACCTCCACAGGTTGCCCCACAGGCTTCCTGGGTATTTACACAGTACCTGATTGCCACAAGGTGTTGAGAATTGGGGTGGCCCGGACATAAGGGATGCTGCCATTGCTGTCTACCAACAGTACTGCTCTGAACCACAACCAGTGCCTTTCATAGAGAAGCAAACCAAGAAGTGATGGATAGACAGAGATAGAAAACTCTTGAGCAAAACTAATCAAAGCTATGCTTTGCCCTAGTTTTCTGAATCACAATCATACACACTGACATCAAACGTCTTATTAAAGATTTGGCTTTAGAATGTTCCATCAGAATGATTTGTAAAGCCATTGGGAAGAGATTTTTATGGGAATATGAGGTACTCTATTTATTCAGAGAAAACCATGCTTTCCAAAGTTAAATGACCGTATTGACAGAAACACAAAGCAGAACCTATTTTTGGCCTTATTGCTTATCCTGTTTCCCATGACTGAAATCAGAGTGCAAAATTTTTGACATCTTTCTTTATGTTAAGTGTTCAGTGAGGACTGGAAACACAGTGATGAATGAAACTCAGTCCTTGCCTTTATGAAGCTCCCATTCTAATAAGGAGGTCCAAGAATTACTTGACATTTAAAGCTTTTGTTATGCCATGGTCAGGATTCTTCCCTTGCACATTAGTTGCTGTAAAGTTACAGTCTAAAATTGCAATGTTAGTCTACCATGCTTCTACGCTTAAAACTATGCTTTTCCCCAATAATTTTTATACTTCTTCAATTGACCTACAGCATTTTCCTGCTGAAATAATACTAGAGTAAAACCCTGACTGCTTATACCCTCTACATAGCTCAGGCTTTAGATAACTGAGAGTTAGTAATCAATCACCTTCACTTTTTTTTGGCCCAGGCTCTGTAAATTTCAGTATTCAAAAGGAATCATTTTTTTCCTGAGTATGAAAAAGAGTGAATCTGACTCCTCACTGACCAAACCCCTGACCAATGTGGGAAAGTCCCCTGAGCACTTCTGGGGCAGCCATGGGTAGGTACCACCTAGGAGGGGTACCAAGCTTCATTCCCTGTGCCCTTAGGAAGTAGCCTGGCATGATGGTGCCATTCTGAGCACAAGCCCTCCTTGGGGCTGAGGTAAGACATGACTTTAGCCTGGGGTCATTTCTCACACTTGAAAAAATAAGGCACCACCGCCTGCATCCCACTCCAGCTCCCCAGCCTCCAAGGAAGACATATGACTTCACAGCTATACTCACATATTACTTAACTTCCCCAAATCAGTCATCATTATCAAAACAGTCAGTGACATTAACTCTTCCTATGAAAGTACCTCTCCTTCAATGGTGCTGGGCCATTGAAGGAGGAGGAGAACCTGGCGTTGACAGGCTGTGTATGTGCTTCAGGGGTGGGTACTGAGGATGTACAACAGAGGTGAACTGCCCTGCGGTTTCAGAAGTTACCTCATGTTCCACTCCCGCTCCACAATCTCTTATAGTAGACAGAAAGTTCTTTTCAACAGCCCTAACCTGTTGCCCCACTAAAGGTTAGTCAATGCCAATGAAAATGCAGACACTTCCGGGTTTGCAGCTGAAATTGAGCTAATCCTGTGACCAATTAATTCATCAATTGTATAAAATGGATGACTGAAAAAATAATTGCCAAAAGCCAATTTACTTTTTGTGGTTACTTGCTGACTTGAGGTCCACCCTGATTCAGAAGGCTTGTAGCAAATGACATTGGAGGGGCTGACATTTTACTACTGTGTCTTCCTTAGTTCTCTATCTGAAGTTTCCAGGCATGGTTTAGCAGCAATTATAACCAATGATGTAAGACACTCCTCAATTTTTGATCTTCCTTAATTGACCCACAGCATATTCCTGATGAATTACTGTTAGAGTAAAACCCTGGTGTCCTGATGGAAGTTTTTATATCATAAGTGAAATAAGCATATACTTGCTTTTGAACAGTGTGCTTCTTGGGGAAATAAAGTAGAAGATGAAATAAAAGATACAGCAATTCTGATTATGTAGCAGCAAACTATTAATTGGGACCCTTTCCTTGAACTAAATGCCTCCTTTTAGATAGTAATTCTTGGTGTAGAGGTCATGGCATTCCATACTCAATGCCAGACAGAAAGCAGTCTCACAGGTCATTGCCCTGCAGCAAATAGCTAGTGACCAATGATTACTTAGAGTTGTGACTGTGAAAATCTGATACTAAAATAGCGCTAAAGGGTTTTATGAGCATGAAGGGATTTTTGAATGGTTCAAGGAGAAAGAGCAAGAATTAACCCTGAGCTGTGTCTGCTTCCTGTGTTTCAGAGCAGGGCTTGTCTCTGTAATATATAACTGATTGTTAGTTCACTGTAGTTTTCTTTTCTTCTCTTCTCAGGAGGACAAGAAGACCTCATTCTTTCCTATGAGCCTGTTACAAGGCAGGAAAGTAAGTTTCCCAGGACACTTTCATTCCTGATTTCTTGAAGGAGGGAAAGAGCAAAGACTAAGGAGAATAAACTCTGCTTAATACTCAGTTGTCTTGAGACCATACCCTATTCTCTCTCGCTCTCTCTCTCTCTCTCTCTCTCTCTCTCTCTCTCTCTGATGCTGTCACCAAACAACTTCCCCTCTGAGTATAGGCAGTAGCAGCTCCTAAGAGAAGGATGCAGCCCTCCAGATGGATGGTCCTCAATCTGAAGGAGCACATTCAAATTAACTAAAGAGCACTAGCTATGAGACTGGTGAACAGTCTCCTCAGAGACTCATGTCAGCTCAGTATTGAGAAGGACTTTCTAGCAGATCTGCCTAAGATATAGGCTATCTGTAAGCTGCTGCTTTTTCCTGGAGGCATTTATACAGAGACTAATTGCTACTGACAAGGATATCGAAGAGAGAATTCAAACATTAGATGGGGAGTTGTACCCAATGAACTTTAAGGTTCCTTCTAATCCCAGATACAAGGAAATCTAGAAACTGCAGCAACGTGTAGAGAGTATCTTGATCTGGGGAAAAGAAATCATGAAAACATAAGATGTTATTACTTCTAACAATTACTTTTTATAGTCATGTCTAATCAATAGCCAAACAGCTGTTTGGATTCTTTTTTCTTCCACTCAATTGACTAAATTCAGTTGTTTTGACATTATGTAGGCAGAGCCAGAGAGTAAGCAAAACGCCTCCAAATGTTTCTTTTCATCGACAGATACTGCAGTTGCTTTTCCCTGCTAGTAGATTCCAGAAAGTAGGCATTGCGAACCTCCTGAGTGTTAAACATCAATTTCCCTGTGCAAAGCTGTATGAGTAATTTGTCCAGTGAAGTAATGCCTTTTAACAGCTCATACTGTTTGGCGATGAAGAATCACCCTTGCAGGAAAGTTTTACAGTTGTTTCCAAGTCTTTCTCTTCATCTACTTCTTCCTTTCCTGTTCTGTAGTAAACTACACCCGGCCAGTGATTATCCTGGGGCCCATGAAGGATCGGATCAATGACGACTTAATATCTGAATTCCCTGATAAATTTGGCTCCTGTGTGCCTCGTAAGTGTCATTTTTCTTTCCCCTAAGGAAAAAAAAAAGAGCTTGGATTCTTTATGAGATGGTAATACGTAATTTCGTTCCTCCAGTAGTCTCTCCAGCAATTCAAATACCAACCATTTCCGATTAGCTGAGTGCCTTATTTAATTTCTTTGCCTAACATGTCATTTATGCTGCTGCGTGTCATTCTCTATTTGATAAAATACAATCTCTCTAAACTGATTGTAGCCCCTTAAAAGGCAGGATGAATCTTTGCAGCCCTCCAACCATTTAAAATAGCATGGGATTTATGATAGGTATCAGCATGTTTTTATAGATTAATTGAAATGCCACTGAAACATTATTTTTTATAGAATGGAAGAGATCAGAAACAAAGCCATATATTAAAATCCTCTCAGAAGGACTTAGGGCCATAGGTCAATCCTAAAACCCAATAGGCTTTCCCATGTTGACAGTCCCAGGTTTAGGGACGATGAAGACAAGAAGATGTATAACACTTCAGTTTGACCTCTAGACCATTATAGACTTTAAACTACTTTCTCCTCATTGTAGACAATCATTGGGCTTCCTGGTCCCTCTGATTGTAGCCTTATTAGATTCTAACTGCTCTGCCTTTCCTGCTCCCCACCTCCCACCATACTTTCTCCACTCACTCACCCCATCTATACCCCGACTCTGTCACATAGAAATGCATGCAGACCTTCTATGTATGTAGACAGGCCCACCAGGAATTTTTAATTTATTAAATAATGAAGCTCTTATTTCTGATACCACAAATATTTCTCTCTCAGTCTACATATTTTAAGCCTTATGCTTTCAAGTGTTTCTAACATTCTAGTATGAAAATTTTATGTGAGATACTTAAGAATAGCAGGAATGAACAAAAGACTAGGATGATTGCTGTATCTCATGAAACAGTTTCCAGCAAGGGATCTGGGAAGAGAGCCTGCCATAAAACATATCCTGAGAAAGTCTTCAGATAGGAAGAATCAAATGAAACTCCAGGTAGTTTATTTACAGCAGCCTTCAGCTTGCTCTTCTACTTTTGAGAGAAAGAAAACAAAGTACTTAAGCACTCTTTCCACTTTCCCCTTAACTTTGCATATTCTTTCTTTCTTTCTTTCTTTTTTAATTGTACTTTAGATTCTTGGGTACATGTGCAGATCATGCAGGATTGTTGCATGGGTACATACATGGCAAGGTGATTTGCTGTCTCCATCCCCCCATCACCTATATCTTTTTTAAATTAATAGAACCATTTTATGAAAGTCAACATGTTCATTTTACAAAACTTGAAAAATGCTAAAAAGAAAGTTAAACAGGGCCGGGCGCGGTGGCTCAAGCCTGTAATCCCAGCACTGTGGGAGGCCGAGGCGGGTGGATCACGAGGTCAAGAGATCGAGACCATCCTGGTCAACATGGTGAAACCCCGTCTCTACTAAAAATACAAAAAATTAGCTGGGCATGGTGGCGCGTGCCTGTAATCCCAGCTACTCAGGAGGCTGAGGCAGGAGAATTGCCTGAACCCAGGAGGCGGAGGTTGCGGTGAGCCGAGATCGCGCCATTGCACTCCAGCCTGGGTAACAAGAGCGAAACTCCGTCTCAAAAAAAAAAAAAAAAAAAAAGTTAAACAAGAAAATTAAAAGTACACAAAATCCCACACAACACCCAGAGATAACATCATTGTTAATATTTTGGTGTATTTCCATCTATTCTTTCTATGCATGTATTTTTCCCTGTGGTTATTTCTTTTTTGCTTATTTAAAATTTTATAAAACTATTACAAATGATTATTATATCACAATCATTCTTTATGAACATTTTGTTCATAAAGAGTAAGGAGGGTAAGAGTGGTACCTATTACTATGTCATAGTTCTTCATGCTACATATTTCTACATATCAATGTTGAGGATGTGGTAGAGAATATAGGTATATAGGAAGTTTATGAGTATAAATGCACCTTATTATTTTTTGTATTATTTTTTGTTTTATAAAGATACCACGAGGCCAAAGCGAGACTACGAGGTGGATGGCAGAGACTATCACTTTGTCATTTCCAGAGAACAAATGGAGAAAGATATCCAAGAGCACAAGTTTATAGAAGCCGGCCAGTACAATGACAATTTATATGGAACCAGTGTGCAGTCTGTGAGATTTGTAGCAGAAAGAGTATGTTCACCAATCTTCTTACACCTCCCTTGAAGGTTTCTAGGTTGCAAACTGCAATTTTTGGTCATTACTCTTTCTTGATTGCAATTGTAAATTTTGATTAAGTCCTCCTTTTAAGACATCCAAGCAGAGAGTCACCTTAGAGCAATGTCATTAATCTTTGTTCTAATTTCAATAAAGTATTCTCACTGACTTGGAAAAAGCACCAAGAGGGTTGGGGAGATATCTATAAACCTAAAGGCAATTAACACCTTGAAGTTTATGAGGATTCCCTTTGTCTGTGACTCACTCTCTGAGGCCCCAATAAACAACACTGATTTTATGAAGGCAGGTTTACTACTTTGGTTGTAAACCAAGGGGATATCATTCCTGAATTCTTTTGTTAGAGCAAGTTATTTTTTCTCTGTCTCTGAAAACTTGACATTCACATGGTGGAAGAGAATATAGATGAGAAAGGCTGCCCAGCCTGTTGCTAGCAGAAGTTCTAGTTTAGAGGAGATGGAAATGCTGAAATTCTCTTCTTGCTGGTAACTTCAGGGGCATGGAAAAGAGAAGAATGTTCAAAAAGGATAGGATAGGAAGGCACCTGGTTGTGGCTATACAATCTGCCTATAGAGGGATCCTATCTCCTGTGAACACAGGGAACCGATATCATAGGAGAAGATATTTGTTGGGTTGATTTGATTTGACATGACCTTTTTCAATGTACCGCTAAAGAGTTAAACAAGTAATTTTAATGTCTATCTGAGAATACACTAAGAAGTTGCATCTATTTTCTTCCCTCTCAACAGTTTAGTTCTATCAACTATATGAATACTGGTTCTAGTTAGACTGTCCTGGATAATTGCATCTATTTTCCTCTTCGTTCACGTTGTTAACTTGAAGTGTTCTGACCAATGAATAATCAACCAGCATTTATACATGTTATGTGGTTGCTGCACTTCACAGATAGAAAACTTGAAATCTATTACCTAAGTAACAAAGGCTCGAACCATCTTAGTGTGTTTCTCATATAAGAAGAGTTCAATTATTCAGTGGACTCTATTCATTTTCATGTTAACATTATAGATGAGTTTTTAGCCCTTATTATTGATTTAGGACCCTTCCTATCTGCATAAAGTGCCTTTTTTTTCTCTTTTTGCATAAAGTTCTTCTCAGGGTAATGAGGCCATTTCTCTCCAGGAGGTAGAATATGATGTGGCAAATGTATCTGCGTTTGCAGAAATGCTTTATAAAGCAGTTCCTTGCTCTGAGCACTCACTGCGATGGAAGCCAAGTTAAATGAGATGTGCTATCATGTAATAGCATTTTTATTTGTTAGCAAACAAGTAATTTACATACCTCGTACCAGCCTCTTTCTCTCAGCATTTAACTTACAGATAGATAGATAGATAGATAGATAGATAGATAGATAGATAGATGATAGATAGATAGATAATAAATAGATAGATAGATAATTTTTTTTTCAATATAGAGTTTTGTTCTTGTTGCCCAGACTGGAATGTAATGGCACGATCTCGGCTCACTGCAACCTCTGCCTCCGAGGTTCAAGCGATTATCCTGCCTCAGCCTCCCAAGTAGCTAGGATTACAGGGGCCCACCACCACGCCTGGCTAATTTTTTGTAGTTTTAGTAGAGACATGGTTTAGTAGAGACCATATTGGTCAGGCTGGTCGCCAACCCATGACCTCAGGTGATCCACCTGCCTCAGCCTCCCAGAGTGCTGGGATTACAGGCGTGAGTCACCATGCCCATTCAACCATATTTTTCAGTTAACCATTTTTGTGTCTGTCCTCCACTAGATTAAGCACATTGCAGACAGGATACACACAAGCACTTGAAAAAGTTCACGATTCCCAATCTTCCGCATTGAATGTTGGGCAGGGTGAGACAATGAAGTATCTATTTAGTCCAACCAACAATACTGTTAGTGCTCAAGACCTGGGTTTGCATGCTCCTAGCTCTAAATTATAGGGCAAGTTAGTTAGTGTGAGTCTTCTCTTCTATAAAATGCAGCTGATAATACCTACCTCAGAGATTTGGGAATTTCTTCTTGACAGTTGTCTTCAGAGATGGTTTTGAAACTTCATGAGAATAGACTCAGTCACATAACATATGGCTGCCTGTCATTTTTGTGTGTTACATCAGGTATTTAAGAAAATAAATCTACCATGAAGCTGGAAGTGAAAAATTAAATTAACTGAGAGAACACATGTAAAATGTCTAGCCCAGTGGCAGACACTTTGTAAGGGACTAGTTAGTTATCATAAACATTCGGTGATAACCCTATAAATCAAGTTTTATTTACTCTTTGCAGTGATCTTTTCTAACTTTAGAAATCCAGCATCTCCTACGTTCCTCTAAAACCTACATATATTAGTTTCTTTTTGTTGGATTATGGCCACGTTTTCTATATTAACTTCATATTATTCTTCTCTTTCTCCCAGGGCAAACACTGTATACTTGATGTATCAGGAAATGCTATCAAGCGATTACAAGTTGCCCAGCTCTATCCCATTGCCATCTTCATAAAGCCCAGGTCTCTGGAACCTCTTATGTGAGTAGAGGGCGTCGGAGGCCTTCATCCGGCTAACTCTCTGTTCCATATTATACTGCAAATTACTAACAGAACTTTGCCACAAATGCTTACAAATGGGAAATGCCATTGTTGATTTTTCAGCATTCAGTATGTTTTTTTGATCCTTTAAGTTCTGGGGTACATGTGCAGATTTTGCAGAATTGTTACATAGGTATACACGTGCCATGGTGGTTTGCTGCATCCATCCCCCCATCACCTACATTAGGTATTTCTCCTAATGTTATCCCTCCCCAATCCCCCCACCCTCTGCTATCCCTCACCTAGCTCCCCACCCACTAACAGGTCCCAATGTGTGATGTTCCCTTCCTTGTGTCCATGTGTTTTCATTGTTGAACATTCACCTATAAGTGAGAACATGCAGTGTTTGGTTTTCTGTTCTTGTGTCAGTTTGCTGAGAATGATGGTTTCCAGCTTCATCCATGTCCCTGCAAAGACATGAACTCATCCTTTTTTATGACTGCATAGTATTCCATGGTGTAAATGGTGCCACATTTTCTTTATCTAGTCTACCATTGATGGGCATTTGGGTTGGTTCTAAGTCTTTGCTATTGTAAACAGTGCCACAATGAACATACATATGCATGTGCCTTTATAATAGAACAGTTTTTAATCCTTTGGGTATATACCCAGTAATGGGATTGCTGGGTCAAATGGTATTTCTATTTCTAGATCCTTGAGAAATCGCCACACTGTCTTCCACAGTGGTTGAATTAATTTACACTCCCACCAACAGTGTAAAAGTGTTCTATTTCTCCACATCCTCTCCAGCATCTGTTGTCTCCAGGTTTTTTAATGATCAGCATTCTAACAGGCGTGAGATGGTATCTCAATGTGGTTTTGATTGGCATTTTTCTAATGACCAGTGATAATGAACATTTTTTCATATGTTTTTGGCTGCATAAATGTCTTCTTTTGAAGTGTCTGTTCATGTCCTCTACCCACTTTTTGATGGGGTTGTTTGTTTTTTTTCTTGTAAATTTGTTTAAGTTCTTTGTAGATTCTGGTTACTAGCTCTTTGTCAGATGGGTGGATTGCAAAATTTTTTTCCCATTCTGTTGGTTGCCAGTTACAGAGATACAGACAAATGGAACAGAACAGAAGCCTAGGAAGTAACGCCACACATCTACAACCATCTGATCTTTGACAAACCTGACAAAAACAAACAATGGGGAAAGAATTCCCTGTTTAATAAATGACATTGGGAAAACTGGCTAGCCAGTTTTCTGTGCATGTGCAGAAAGCTGAAACTGGACCCCTTCCTTACACCTTATAGAAAAATTAACTTAAGATGGATTAAAGATTTAAACATAAGACCTAACACCATAAAAACCCTAAAAGAAAACCTAGGCAATACCATTCAGGACAGAGGCATGGGCAAGGACTTCATGACTAAAATACCAAAAGCAATGGCAACAAAAGCCAAAATAGACAAATGGGATCTAATTAAACTGAAGAGCTTCTGCACAGCAAAATAAACAATCATTAGAGCATTCTCTTTTTTTAAAGATAGGTCAAAGTTTTTTAAACCACTAGAACCATAATGTCAGTGATTTCTTTTTTTTTTTTCACACCCCTCATTTTTAACAATAACAGTAATTCCTTAAAACATCTCCATTTTGTTTGTTAGTTTTCGAGGTGTTGTTCTTATTGTTGTTGTTGTTTTGAGGATAGCTTGGTTTGGTTTGGTTTTTTGGTTTGCTATTTTTTTTTTCTTCAAATGATAGGAAGCAATCATTTTTGAATAGTCTCATACTTCTGAGGCAGGTCCCTAAGTAAATCATTTTAAATGTGTAGATTTTTTTATAGAGAGAGCAGACGACATTTGAGGCTTTTTTTCATTGGCATTTTCCTTGGTTCTATAATAGAATTCTAATGTTCCTTAAATAAAACTTTTCATACATAGAACATTGTTCTTAATAGCATTTTCTTAGTGATGTGGCAGTAAAACATCTGTAACTTAAACCAGTAGCTTCATACTTGTGTGCTCAGATTTTTTTTCTTGTTTTTTTTTCTCCAAATAACTTATGAAATATCTTCTTTCAGAAAGCACTAAACAAAGTGGGCAGACATTCATGGTCTGACTGTAAAGTCAGTATAGGCAACTCCCACTCACAAAGGTGAAGCTACAGTAGATAGGGGTAGCAAGGAAAGGGGCTACCAGCAGGGACCTGAAAATTGATCAGGCAAGGTTTGGTTCCTTGCTTTGCCACTGATCAGTTAAGTAACCTTGGGCAAATTGCTTGACCTTCCTAAGATTTAGCTCCTCACCTCTAAACGAGGTGCACTAATAAATTCCTCATAGAGCTAGTATAAAGGTCAAATAACAAGATTAGGAATTTAATAAAGCTGCTGATATAGTCTTTGGCATACAGTAAGTACTCAATCAATAGTACCTATTATTTTTATAAAAGATATAAAATTACTTTATTATAAAGGAATAAAACTATTTTATTATTATAGAACACATAAATAGCACCTCTGCCATGACAGTGCAAGAGATAATGCCAGTGTGTCTGTCACAAGGGCCTTGATCAAATATTGTCTTCATCTGGGCCTCAAGACCGCAGTGTTTGACAGGGCTCAGGAGTGAACTACAGAGTACTAGAAAACAATGTTTATGGAAAGACTGAAGAAATGGAAATTATTTAATCCCAGTGGTGAAAGCAATTGCTTGCAGAGGGCATTGACTATTCTGTGTCTCCTCTGAGGACGAAGAAGCAAAGCAAACTGCAGCAGCTGCAGTGGCAGCCTAGGAGAATTAAGTTAAATACATAGTTGAGCTCTGGGGAAATTGCCAGAGATATGTCTTCAAAGCAGAATATAGTCCCATAAATAAAAGATGGACAAGGGTTCTTACTAGAATAAAAAAAGAAGATTGGGAGGTTATCAACAATACTTTCAGCCCCATGAATTTAGGTATTAAATTATAATATAAAGAGTTTTTCCCATGGCTGGCACATGGAAAAATATGTATTAATGATAAAATAATGGTTCTTAATATCATCATCCCCATTAGCAGGTATTAAATTTCTCCTTATGTAGGATACCGTGTTGGGCATTGTGCAAAATGAATTAAGTAAGTACAAATTTCATTATGTAAAATTGATTTATAATCTGTAAAGAGCCTCATAAATATAACCAATGCTAACATTAATAAGAAGAGAAGAAAAATGGTCCTCACCTCCTGGGAATAGCCATCTTAAAGGCCTGTTTCAGAAATAGAAAAAGAAATCCTCATATTGTAAACACACCGTGGGATAAATGGCTTCCCAGGGGAATGAGGCCTGAGGGAAGGATAGCAATGGCACATTTGGTCCAGAGCAATATTGAGAGAGGGTCCCATCTGGCACTCCATAGAGGTCGACTTCCTTCCACAACTATGAGATGACTTATTTTAGTTAATGCCTTAGGGCACTGTCACAGCCACTTTTCACCAAGGAAAGTTAAACATACTAAAGGCTGGATTTCACAATGAGGACAGTGAATCTGAAATAATTTGCTGTAGCCATGTTCGTGTGTCTCAAGCGCAATGATGGTGATATTCAGACCAATGCAATCCTATTAAATGTTGGATGTTTACTTTACAGTTCACTCTTTTCCAAGGCTTTTACTCCAGGAGCAAAGCTGCCATGAATTGCCATTCCCTGGGGAGGAGTGAATGCTAGGTCAGCTGGAACAAAAGCATGGCAGCTGTCACATTTAGGCATTGATACATCATCACACACATTATTTTTCAAGTGCATCATCCACATCAAATCACAGAGCTTATTAGCACATACATAGCTGACTCTTCAGAGGAGCATAAAATCAACGATGTGTATGAAAGGGATGTTCTTTTTATATTGTGCCACCGTCTGACTTCCGTTCCCTTCCCACGTGGCAATGTCTCTTCACCCTGCCACCTCCAATCTGCTTTTACTTTCCTGCTCCCATGATGCTCTGTGCTTATTTCTGCCTTCAACTATCTTATGTTTGTCTAGCTCCCCATTTGTTCATTCATTCATTCGTTTACTCGCTTATTCATTCAACAAACAAATGCTGAATCAGACTCCATGCCACATGTTAACAAACCAGCCATGATCTTCACCCTCAAAGAATAACTGATCAGTCAAGGAGACAAAGTAAATTCACAGGTTAGAGGATAAAAACCCAAAGTAAGTCATTGCTATAATCAGTAAAAAGGGAACTCAGAGAAGACAGAATCCTTGGCAGGCAAGTAGAGGAAGATCCAGAACTATGTGATTTCTTTTTCTGAGACAGGGTCTTGCTCTGTCACCTAGGCTGAGTGCAGTGGTGCCATCATGGTTCACTGTGGTCATGACCTTGTGGGCTCAAGTCATGTTCCCACCTCAGCCTCCCAAGTAGCTGGGACTAAAGCCATGTGCCACCATGCCCAGCTAATGTTTGTATTTCTTGTGGAGACAGGGTTTCACCATGTTGCCCAGACTGGCCTTGAACTCCTGAGCTCAAGTGATCCACCTGCCTCAGCCTCCCAGAGTGTTGGGATTACAGACTTGAGCCACTGTGCCTGGCCCATGTCATTTCTTGACATCTGGAGCAAATCTTCATCTTTGTCTGAAGAGTGTCCGTTGGTTTAGCCCAGCATCTTCTCCACCAAAGAGTAACATCCATTCACAGCATGTAGGGCTGAGACTAGAAGAGAAATTATAGATTCCACCCCTCAAAACAGATGAGTTTAGCAATAAGAGTTCAGAAAATGCCCACTTCTTTTTGTTTCAGCCATTAGTGTCTAATGTCACCATTTTGTTTTTTTCCAAATAAGACTCTTTTGAAAGACATCAAGTCTTGGTATAATAGGAAGTCTGACCAAAAATTGGTTTAAAAACCGAACCCTTGAGTTCTTACCCCAGATTACTCTTAGTTAAATACATAGCCTTAAGCATGTCCCTTCTTGCCTCTGTTACTTGCAGAAAGAAATTCTGAAAAGGAATTGACTAAGACCAGATGTTCCAGATCCAAATCTCTGGCTTCCTAAGCAGCATGTAAGGCAGTAATGATTTCAGAAATTCTACATGCACCTGTGATCCATCCTGATCAGCCAACCAAATTGCATTTGGCTGGACTTTTTTTTTTTTTTTAACACCTGGAAGACCTGGCAAGATAAAGCTGCCAGTAGTTAAGAATCAATAGATTAGGTTTTAAAGAGAATTCAAGAATTTTTCATTTCTCTTCCACCTTGATTTATCCTTGAGACTTTTTAAAAAATTTATATATATTAGTTATATATGTTTTTGGAGTATATGTCCTATTTTCATGCTTGTATACAACGTGTAAAGATCAAATCAGGGTAATTGGGATACCCATCACCAGAAATGTTTTGGGAATATTAGAGATCTTCTAACAATTTTGAAATATTCCTCTAACTGCATTTTTGTGCTCCTTAACCAGCTTCTCTTCTTCTCCTCCCCTCCTGCCTTGTCTTCCCAGTTCTGATAACTACCATTCTACTCTCCCACATTTAAGAGAGTCTGAGATACACTAGAACAAACTCCAAGAAAGCGTCAGGAAAGTTCACATTTAGAAATCATATCCAGTGAGGGCGTAGATGAAGCAATTGGACAGTTTTTTCTGAAGAAGTAGAAGCCTCAAGATACACTTAAGCACTTTACTTAAATATCCTAGGGCCTACCATGGAGGAAGTTTAGCCTCACTCTCATGATTTGCAGTCCCTGTCATGTCCCCTGCAGAACAGACACCAGTGACTGCAAATCACAGGGATACCTGTTTGGCTTCAATCCAATGTGGGACCAAGAGGCTGCCTTTTGAGAGAATGAGCTTTCGGGCCAGAGTCCTTTTTGCCGAAGTTATTCCAGCACAGAGGATTCCTGAATGAAGACTAAAGAGCTGTTGCTAAGACTACACTATGCTTTCTGCATGATTTATTTTTCCCATACATTTTAATTTTTTAGGATTTGGAATATTCCCTTTATGTTCTAATACTAAACCCTCATTTTCCCAGGGAAATGAATAAGCGTCTAACAGAGGAACAAGCCAAGAAAACCTATGATCGAGCAATTAAGCTAGAACAAGAATTTGGAGAATATTTTACAGGTAAGTTCACTTTTACCCTAGCACTGTGGGAAGAGGATAAATTGTCTGACATCTGACATAGAGAGAGCTCTGGGCCTGGTGTACTTGGGCCCTAAAACCTTCCTGTTGAGAATCCCTAATATCTGTTTCACACACAAGGAGTCTCCCTCTGCTTCACCCATTTTGATGTGGAACCCTGGGTTCTCCCAGGAGTTCAGCTGCAGCCAGCTCCCAGGTTCCCACCAGCCCGACCCACATGGGCGACGGATGCCTCTGAGCTGTCTCCTACGGTGAAAAGGATTTTAGGCATTACTACCTCATTAAACTATCTCCCTGATATCATGAGAAAACTTGAAAAAGAAATTTTTAAGGCTCGAAATAGTCAGTGTCCAAAACAGTTATTCTTGAGAAGCAGCCGGGAGGCTTCTGTTCCCTGCTCCATCAGCTGTCACCAATGTCCCCATCAGCAGCACGTGAACAAGGTGCTTGAAATTCCCGTTGTGTCAAGTCTCAGCCAAAAACTGGTTGGTTTTTTTTTTCTTTTTAAATGTTTCCTTGGAAACATGAAGTTAGGGGAATAGAAGTTTTTCTTCTCCTGGATAGCCTGAGTTCTGAGTTCTCTATTCCTATATGCTTTTATGGAACAGTGAGTAATCAGACTTTGTGAAATTTGCTTTACACCTGGTTCTCAGTGGTTTAAAAACAGGAACTTTCTTCCTGGATTACCTTACGTGAAGTTAGATGTTTTATTTTTTACCTTATTCAGAATATACAAAGGGTCAGTGTCTTAGCAGTTTGTAAATAACCTGAATCGGGTAATACTAAGTAAACTTTCTGTCAATTACCAAAATGAGAGCTATGTTTCATCCTGAAAGAACACCCAGGTAGGAAAAAGAATCAAAACCAATGTACATTTTACAGTAGTTCCTATCTGGTATACAATCTTATAATTAATATATTCTGAGAATTGTTTTTAAATATCTAAATCTTCCTTCATTATTTTTAAGACCTAGTGTCATATACATAATATTGATGTGTTTTGGAAATCTTTCTACAAGATAGCTTTTGTTCAAACGAGACAATAAAATGTACTTAAATCTACTCCAAGTGACTTAGTGTTTTAGGAAATACACACTGAGCAGTTTGTTTATATTTCTTCCTATTTATGTTCTTATAAATAGTAGCCTTATGGTATTCTCAATATGAATAGCCCTGTATGGTAAAATCTCTATTTACCAGAGATTTGGAGAATGAATGAGTTTCCCTATTAAGGTTTATGCGGGTTGGGAGGTTAACTAAAGCTTCCTCTAAAATCTTTATTTTTTCCTCGGTGTCTATAACATGTGAATTTCTGCCGCTGCCAAAGTAAGTAAATATAGAGACTATAAGGCCAGTTTTCTTTTCTAAACAGGTAGTTCTCAATCTGAAAATTGATCAATGCCTAGCTGAGTGCCTGGCCCAGAGTAGACACCCATAAAATATTTGTTAAGTAAATGAGTGATTCATTGTCCAGAACTACAGGCAGATATGTAGAAAGTGCAAAGACTGTGATGCATTTGTTAGTGATCCAGGATATCCATTGAAAGCATTTTTTAAAATCATGAATGTAATTTTGCTTATGTGAATTTTCTGCTTTTTCTTACTAATGAAAAATGATATGAAGCTTCCTGATAAGATGTCTGCTACCAGTTTGAGCCTCCGGTATGTAAGTGATGATTGTTCTTCACCATCCAGGAAATAATTTGGGTGTGTTTGCTTTTGTTATAGCTATTGTCCAAGGAGACACTTTAGAAGATATATATAACCAATGCAAGATTGTTATTGAAGAGCAGTCTGGGCCTTTCATCTGGATTCCCTCAAAGGAAAAGTTATAAATTAGCTACTGCGCCTCTGACAGCGACAGAAGAACATTTAGAAGAACAAAATATATATAACATACTACTTGGAGGCTTTTATGTTTTTGTTGCATTTATGTTTTTGCAGTCAATGTGAATTCTTATGAATGTACAACACAAACTGTATGAAGCCATGAAGGAAACAGAGGGGCCACAGGGTGGGACAGAAAAGACATTGCAGTGTGAAGGAAGGCTTTGGTTTGCTCAAAGTGCCAGGTGTAGGGATGAACCTCTGATGGGCTTTCTGCCCAAGAGATGAGAGCCTCCTCACCCCAGCGGATGTCCAGAGCTGATTTAGCTGCAGAGCTCTCTGTGTCTTTTGCTTTAAAGAGAAATTGCCAGCACTCGAACCTCACCAACCTTCCCATTACCCACATCTGTAATTGGTACACTTTGAATTTTATAACTATGCACATCTTTTGATTTCTTAACAAGCAAATGAAAGAAAGAAGGAAAAAAAGAAAGGAGTCCCTTTGGAGACGACATATCTCTCTGGGAAGGATAAATGTGTAGCTATGTTGACTGGCATCTGCAAAGATAAGCATTTCATAAAATTTGCAAGTGAATGGAGCACTAACCTTACAGACAGGAGGGGATTCCACCTGGGGTTAGCTTTATGATTGTCGATTGCCTATTTTGCCATTTTTAAACTGAAAGAAGGCACTAAAGATGAGAATAATTTATACAGTAAAAATATATTAAATGTATAGAAACAAATTTCTATAGGTTAAAAAGTTTTGTGAAATATTTTGTAAAGACTAATATTGAAAGACTAAATGTATGCAGCATCAGCAGATGATCAAATTCAAGAACTGAAAGTTGCACTCTCCCTTTTGTTGCCAATGATCCATTAAGAGCATCTGAGTTCCTTTCAAGTCTGACAAAGACTTCTTCCTCACTTACCTCCCTTCCACATTAGTGATACACTCTCATGGAGCACATACCTTAATGAGTTGCCTTCATGGATATTTTGGGAAGACGTTTGGTTTATGCATTTTTTTAAGCTGATGGCTTTTCAGAGACAAACTTATGGAAATGATCTAAAGGGAGTTTTTGCTTTTCTCTAGTTAAATAGCCTGAGCCTGCCATGCAAATAGTTTAATAACTTTGTTCCTAGCTGCTGACACGCAATTCATAAAGGACCATTTAGCATTTTGGCCAATGATGAGTAATTAGGATTAGTTTTTGTTTGTTTGTTTAACAGAGTAACTGAGAGTTTTGTAACAGCCAGAGATGGTATTAGAGCCAATGGGAGATCTGTTCCTAGATGCACTATTTCTTTGAGGAAGAGAGAGAAGAGAAGTGACTGGTTGGGGGTGAGGGGTGCAGACTGTTTTATTTCTATGTACAGAGCAAAGAGATAGAGTCACAAGGAAAGACAATTAATGACTTTGAGCTCAACCAATTGAACTGCCTTTCTTGGAGCTGCACTTGGACCAAGTTTATTTTTTAACAATTATAATAATGATGATTTTAAAAAAAGAAACCTCCCAAAGCCTATAAACTGAACTAGAAGAGTTAGTTTCCCACTTTAGAGCGGATGGCGACATCAGCATTGCTTTTGTCCATGGTGTTTAGAGAGAGACTTTTCAGTGATAATAACCACTCTACTCTGGGTTCTGTGCATTCCCACACTAAGCCCCATCGCCTTATTTCTGGGGTACATCCAGACCTGGCAGGGATTCTGCCACACTGTGCAGCAAACCAGCATGTAGGCTGGGTAGGAGAGCAAGAGATAGAGCCATCAGAGTGATGGGGCTTCTTCCCAGTAAGAACATCGGAGCTCAGAATGAGAGTCTCTTTCCAAAAACAGGCATTGTTCATCTTACACTAAACATCATTGTCTGCCTGGCTGCAGTCACCAAAACAAACCCCAAAATGCAAAATCATGCATCTTCCTATGGTCTTGAGGCTGTCTTTGCCAATGGAAGGGCTAGCAATGAATTTTCCCTCTCAGGAAAGTTAAATTTCCAGAGACTTCCTTAGAATGCTCAAAATGTTACAGATATGTCCATGTCTGCAATTCGCCAGTTTCAGGCCAAGGCCTACTTTCATCAATATTGCTCCCAGAAGTTTTCTGCCACCAGAATGCCATTCCTGATCCCAGCTCTATTTTTAGGCCACCATGATAACTTCTTTGGTTTCTCAACTGAGCATGCAACCATTTATTTAAAAGACTGTCATTAATGAGTAGATGTTTTTGCGGGTCGTGTGATGTGCTTTTCCATTTACTAGTATTGCTGTGGCTGAGTACAATCAAATTGAACCACCAATCCTTGGTTTTGTAGTAATATATTTATTTTCCTAGTGTAGATGCTTTCAGATTAGAATTGGCATTTGCACTGATTTTTTATGTAGATTTATATAAATATATAGATACATATATATTTGCTTGAAGAATCACCAAGCAAATTGGTGAGACGGTCTTTTCCTATAGAATTTACACCTCCATTTGTTGTGTTGTCTTGCACTTCCCAATGTTGATGTCTCTATGGCTCCAACGAACTGGTGTATTTTGCAGCAAATCTGATGACATGTATGGAAATGGCATGAAAGTTACCCAGATTACATCTGGTGCAAATGCATCCGGAGCCTGGGGCCAGACTGGTGCTAACACTGCAAACTTTGTCCAGAGCTCTCTCCAACCTGAAGGCTTGCTGGGGGTGCCATGTCACCTTCACACATGCTGGGCCCTTTCAGAAAAGTGCCAGATCGTGTCACTGGTGCTATTTTTCATGCTCTGGTACAATGTGTAGCACCACGGGGGTCTCAGCTTTACCAAAATCAAAATTTCATTTGTCGGCTAATTGCAGAGGCATTTCTTTTTTGCTCTCCTCCCACAGAATTATCGGCCATCTATTTGCAGGCCCTTTGCGGGATTTCTTGGCTATTTATTTGCAGGCCTTTTCTCCCAGCCCCAGATTCTTGGGTTGGCTCTGTCTGCTTAAAGAGCCTGTTTTTACAAAGCCGCACTCGGGTGCCTGTGTGCGCTGTCTCATATCCTACTGCCAGCCCTTCAGGACTCCGAGCCAGGAAAGAACTCTCCAGCCCCTGGCTCGAGACCCTATTTGTTTTCTCATTCTTTTCCTAACTCTCCTCCTTCTATTTCTGACTCATTCCATCTCTCTCTTTTGTTTTCTTTGTTCCTCTGCTTTTCCTATTCTTCCTCCCACCATCTCTGAGTTGTTGACTTTCTCCTATAATCCTTCTCTATTTCTTTTCCCTTTTTGTCCACCTCCCCTTTAGTCTCTATTTCTTTGCCCTTCTTATTTCTTTTTTCCCTTCCTTTCCTGTCCCTTCTCCTCTCCTCGCATCTCTGATCATCTTCTCCCGCACATCCCTGTATTGATTTCTCTGTCCTCTAAAGGGCTCATGGCTTACTCAGACAGCAAGTCCATGCACTGGACTAATGACACAAATACTTTGGGTCGCCGTTTCATCTACTCAGCCCAGAAAGCAAAGCTGAGCATGAGGCCCTGACCTGGAGCATGCTCCAGCCCGCCTCCCAGAGCCAGCCTGCACCGTTGCCCTGGCAGCGATGATGCATGTGCTGTGGGCCCTGCCGGCCCTGGGTGCCTCTGCCTGAACGCTGCTCCTAAGTGAGCCTACCCCCAGCACTACCGCATGGCTCTGAGGACACTTCCTTTCAATAAAGGCAGACTCTGGCCCCAATTATTCTGATAGCAAACCTCTTCCTCCTCATTGAAGCCATGCCATCACCTTGGTTTGGAGAGAGACATTTTTTTCCCATTCATAAGCTTTCTTTTTCCCATTTTCATGTGAAGCCCCCTCTGCTTTTCAGCTGGTGGTTGCTCTGGTGAGACTGAATGGACTTGCTGGTGAAATGAAATACCTTCTTTCCTGTCTTGGTCCTGCCTAAATTCCTACAGATATATTTAAGCCAAGGACTCAGGCTAGTTCCTAAGTTGATCACATTAATTTGTCACTCCTAAGGGGAAAAAGATCAACTCCCTTGAAGCATGTGGAGTACCTCCTGTGACAGCTGACTTGCCAGGGGACTCCCTACAGAATTCTGTGATAGACATTTTACTTCTGTGTATGGATGGTATATACAGTATGTATACCATGTACACACAGGTTACATTGAGTATGAATGACTGTGGATGGAAACCCACACACACACTCCAGTCTGTAAATATCCTTCCTCACTGAAACCTGTGCTTTGGAAATCATTTCTTGTACAGCTGTGCAGTTTCTTGTAACAGCTGAGGACAAAGCTAAGACAGGAGGACAATTTAGACAAAGATTATCTAAAGAGTACAGTATCTCCCTAGCAACTCATGAGGACAGACAACCAAGTGGCTAGGTTGACTTCCAATGGGATGGCAGACTTTTCTTCTCTCCTTTTTGAGTTTGTGTTTCCTAAGTGTTTCTTAACTTCTGAGTGCACCAGGCTGTACCCGTTAGATCCTTTCAATATGACAGTTTTGTGCTTCTCTCTGACAGGATGTTTCTCCATCGAGCTGTAGTGCAGGATGGGAGGGAGGCGGGAATACTCCTTGCCTGGGCTGGAGTTTACAGAGACACTGCACAGCTTACACTCCTGTTAAGTGTAAATATTCAACACTTCCATTCCATTTGTGTAAAAAATAAAGCACACACGATTATAAAATCAAGATGTATATTTCATACTCAGTGTGTCCGTGCATATTTATTGCGTTTCTAGTTGTCAGCAGTGGGTGGTCCCATTGTAAAAATGCCTGAGAGTGTGTTTATAAACATGTCATGGTTTTATTATAAGATATAAATATTAAAACATTTTATACTTTATAGCAAATGATTTTCTCCCAAAGCATAATTTGTCTTATTTCATAAGGAATGGAATCACTCATGTCTATTTTTATCAATTTTGTCTCTGATTCCAGAGCTAAAATGCAGTTAGGATGGGTATGTCCTGAGAAGTATTGGCACTGCTGAGAGGAAGTAAACGTGCTGTTTTTGCATGTTCTTAAATATTTGGTTACCATCCTGCCTGCCTTTAATCAGGATCTTTCCAAAAGTATACAATGTATTAAATGATAGATTTTTAAAGATGTTCGCAACAATGTAGGGGGAAAAATCAATTTCCCAGTGTCAAACTGTGGGATTCCAGACGATATTAAGAATAGAGATTAGCCAGGCATGGTGGTGGGTGCTTGTAATCCCAGCTACTTGGGAGGCTGAGGCAGAAGAATCACTTGAACCCAGGAGGTGGAGGTTGCAGTGAGTCGAGATCGGGCCACTGTACTCCAGCCTGGGCAACAGAGTGAGACTCCGTCTCAAAAAAAAAAAGAAAAGTTTGTAGGGTGGGCTTCTTGCCTCTCCAAGGATTATCTCTGCCAGACACAGTTGGGCACACCTGTAATCCCAGCACTTTGGGAGGCCAAGGCAGGCGGATCACGAGATCAGGAGTTCGAGGCCAGCCTGGCCAACATGGTGAAACCCCGTCTTTACTAAAAATACAAAAAAAAAAAAAAAATTAGCAGGGTGTGATGGTGCACACCTGTAATCCCAGCTATTCAGGAGGCTGAGGCATGAGAATCACTTGAACCCGGGAGGCAGAGGTTGCAGTGAGCCAAGATAGCACCATTGCACTCCAGCCTGGATGAGACTGTGTCTCAAAAAAAAATAAAAATTTTTTTTTTCTTATCTGAAACATGCAAAGAAAGGCACAAATTGGGGAGGAGGTATCATTGTCTTACACACACTGGAGCTCCAAAGATTTGAGCATATTAAAAATGTCAGGTTTGGGATCTGAATCTGCCAGATAATGTTCTAAATTCTTCACTTCAGGTTAAATATATGCCTTGTCATATTGACATTTAACCAGGTTTGACAGCTAGAGAACCAAAACAAATTCTATTCAGGAAAGGGGTGAAATTTTGCATCAAAGCAATTGCTTTGGATTATGCTTTGTTTCATGATACATGAAACAACTATCATATAATTGAATCAGCCATTCGGGAAGCCAGACTAGTTGTTCATACCATCCTGGCCCTCAGGAATCCACCAGGTGTCCTAAAACCGTCCTTGGTGCTGGTCAGTGAACAAAGACTCTGAGACATGGTGTAAGACGACATTGATTGAGGCTGCAAGACCAATGTGGACCTCAGGTTTTGACAATTATGCAATTTTCAACATTTGCACAGTCTCACCTGGTTTAATATTAACGGTGACACTGTACACAAAGCCAGATTCACTTCAATAATGGATATGTTTATTCATAAGGAAAGAAACTAGAAAAGCATTCAACTTTTCTCTGTGTCCTGTTTCATGTCTGCAAAACAGTTTTTATACCATGATCATGCTAGAAGTCTCAAAAGCTGGAAGTGGCTGACACATCTCTGATCCTAAGAGGGTCTAGCTGTGAACCTGTGACCTCTAGATAGATTCTCTGAGACCATACACCCAGTGACAGAATTTAAAAGCCTCACCAAGGCACAAAGCTAGGGAACATCTGTACAGGGAGCCACAATAAGACCCATCGTCTTTAAAGTTGTCAGGGGAGGATGTGTTCTATGGATCATAACCCCAATTTCTGTTCTCTGTCACCTTTCCCTTAGGGACATCTCAGAAGGCACCATGGCTGTCATTAGACTGATCCCCTTCCCTCTTTAATGTTACAGCCAAAGCATGAAGTCCACGCCTTGTCCCATATTCCCCTTAGCACTCTTAGGACAAAGCTAGAACACCTGGGTGAACTTTGCTAAAGCCTGGGGATAGCAAAAGGGAAATAAAAGGTATTCTGATTTATGGTATGGGCTTAGTGCCCAGCCCCTAGCTTGATGACATGAGAGACACAGGCTACCTTTCCCCAGCCACCCAGGTGTCCCTCAAGCATAGCTAGACCAGATGGCAGACCCTTTCCTCTTGCAGCACACCTGAGAGATGCTGTATCCATGCCTGACTCAGCACGTGCTACATTAGGTGTCTGCTCTACTTAATACAATACAGGCTAGAATACAAATGGAAGTGATTCAGTGTGGCTTTTTTGATTACTCCTTAAATGTAAACGTCAAAGGACAAATCATTTGCAACATGCTTCACATCTCAGTATGAGGCATCAGTAGAACCTCACTGGTCTAAACTGATCAAGCCCAGAGATGCAAGCCCATGAGAGACACCAGTTCTCTCCCACCATCGGAAGGCCTGTCCTGCTAGCTCTCGGTCCCTGTATTGTGTGGATGATTGACTCAGGTAACATCTCCTCTTCAAGACTTCAGAAGGATGAGCTGTGTGGATTTTGAACAGTAGAAAACTAACAATCATACCATGAGCCAAACATACAGAACAGCCTTCACTCTAGCAAAATATAATTGACTCTATTTCCATCTGAAACAAAAGGAAAGGAAGAAAAATACTTTCTTTTCAGGGGGCATTAAAAATTTCAAATTCTTACAGCTCTACATAGCAAATTACAATGAACAGTTTCTTAGTAACAGAATTAGAGTCTCTCAGAGAGACCAGTTGATTAACAAAAATATGAAACCAACAAGCTAAAAGTTTGGATCATAATTGGGTTGTTGGATTTTCATGAGTCAACCCGTGTCTTTTATATTCTTAGTAACCTTTCAGCAGAAATGGTGCCTGCCCCCATGCTCCTTCATCTGGCAGTTCTGGTATGAATAACCGTTGTGGTGAGAACCTCTCCCCTTGGTTTCCCACTGGTTTCTTACAACATCACTCATACTAATTTACTTGAGCCAACAAATCTGGCTTCCAGTCCGCAGTCCTTTTCATTTGGAGAAGTGCTCTTGACTAACTGAAATTCTTTTTTTTTTTTTTTTTTTTTGAGACAGAGTTTCACTTATGTTACCCAGGCTGGAGTGCAATGGCGTGATCTCGGCTCACCGCAACCTCCGCCTCCTGGGTTCAGGCAATTCTCCTACCTCAGCCTCCTGAGTAGCTGAGATTACAGGCACGCACCACCATGCCCAGCTAATTTTTTGTATTTTTAGTAGAGACGGGGTTTCACCGTGTTGGCCAGGATGGTCTCGATCTCTTGACCTCATGATCCACCCGCCTCGGCCTCCCAAAGTGCTGGGATTACAAGCTTGAGCCACCGTGGCCGGCCCCTGAAATTCTTTAGAGTAAAAATTTATAGAGGCTGGGCGGAGTGGCTCATGCCTGTAATCCCAGCACTTTGGGAGGCCAAGGTGAGTGGATCACTTGAAATCAGGAGTTCGAGACCAGCCTGGCCAGCATGGAGAAACTGCATCTCTACTAAGAATATAAAAATTAGCTGGGCGTGGTGGAGGGCACCTGTAATCCCAGCTACCTATGAGGCTGAGGCAGAAGAATCACTTGAACCCGGGAGGCAGAGATTGCAGTGAACCAAGATCATGCCACTGCACTCCAGCTTGTGTGAGACAGCAAGACACTGTCTCAAACAAAAAGAATTATAGAAAATGTGCCATATAGGAAACTGGGTTCAATTAATATTTAAAATTTGGAGTATTTACCCAACATTTTATGCAAAGAAAGACTAATGTGCTTAATTAAAATTACCCCACAAAAAAAAATTCCCAAAAGCTGGCATTTATTTATTTATTTATCTAGTTATCATTCCTTACACATTTGGTCAGCAAAAAATAAACACTTGTTTGGAACAAGGCTCTATTAAGATGGTGAAGTAGAAAATCAAATAACAAGTGCTCAGGGTACTCTCTGTCTTTTCGAGCAATGTAAGCCTAGTAGCAGAAACCTATTTTGAAAAGATAGTTAAAACACAGAAGCTCTAAACAGACCGGTGAGTGCATAAAGATGCCGAACGAGTGATCTTGACATTCAGGAATCAGATGTGCATCTGCACATTTGCCCATTGCTTAAACTAAGTCTCTTCCATGGTGTTTTTGAATCTGTCAATTTCCCGATATCCCTACCCAATCCCAGTGGCCACTTAATGGTCTACCTATACCAGTTGGGATTCCCCCACCCCCATCCCTGGGGAAAAGGTGAAGAAGACAGGTTAGCACAGACTAACTTGCCAGGTGAACAAAGAGGGGTAGACAAGGTAGGCACAAGATATGGGGAAGTTAGTCATCCAGAACTGGCATTCCTAACACGTGACAAGAATTATCAGGAAGCAAGAAACAACTTGAGTATGGTCAGGATGCAGGACAATCCAGGTACTCATAGGAGAAACTAGAATGGTGGAGAGTTTCTGTTTTCTTTGCAATACAGACTATTCGATGGATCAAAGATCTGCTTCAAAGTAAAATGGTGCAATGAGGCCTTCTCTTCTGATGTAATTTCAAGCATTACACATATTACTTAGAATCATAAGCAGGGTTTTATTCCCTTGGAAGGGGTAGTTTCCTGACCTGGACGTTTAATCAAAAACATTCAATAAGAACTAAAGGGACGGTTAAACTCAACTTTTAGCTTTACGAGGTAAGTATATTCCTATTTTATTAACCCAGGAAACATCTTAAGAAGATTTAGAATGAGGAGTGGTTGAAAGAAAAAAATTGATGTATTGTACCTGAAATTGCCTTCGTGTTTTACAGAATAACTTCTCAGTTGTTCGGCACGAGCTTGACGTTGAAAACCATAGATAATCTCCAATTCCATTTTTAGTTAATCACCTTACTCCCTAAAATTTTCTCCAGAGTTTCAGACAAAGGTCAACACGGTCAGAAATGTGGTTCAGCACTTTCCTGGAGTGAGGGATCAATGCACAGGGCTAGGTCACAGACTGTGAAAGAAAGTGAGACTGAATGGTACAGCAGCTGCCTGGGCTGCCCTCATCGCACTCGTGCATTGCACCCAATAATCAAAGCAAGCCCACA